AAGGCTCCCTGCAACTTCTTAAACTTTGCAACCAACAATTATAATAACCAGAAAAAAACATTCACAAAGGTTCAGAACATCAAAAAGTTAAAAAGGGCTTAGGTTTTAAAAATTTAAATTATTTCATTTCTTTAAATAAGTTGTTACAGTACAAATTATTCCATTTCTTCAATTATGGTATTGGCTCTCATCGTTTGAGTTACAGCGCTAAATCAACAATGTGCTGGAGGACATGATGAAGTATTTGTCTTAAGTGCTGTGAGTTTTTTTATGCTCAAAAATGTAACACAGATTGATGATTATTTTGAGCAAACTCTTCCAGGATTTTTTTCCCAAGCACTTCAAGCAACATTTCCATATGATGAGAGAAACTTGTGAAATTCTGTCACTAGCAATAATGCAAACCAGTCAAATAACCCTATACAATTTGTCTAAGCAACAAATCATTGCTCTAGAAGAGCAGATTGAATTATTCTTGTGAAGGATGCCTAATCAAGAACCACTTCGGGCTGTGGCAGATTGTTTTGGCTTCACATGCAGATCTGGTAATGCTGCCACCTTGTAATAAGCTTTGCTTTGGAGGTGATTTTGTCAACGTTTACCACTGGGAGAACTAGGACCATGTTATACCTGGGGGATAGCTTTACCAGAATGTTTGAAACGTATTCCCAAACCCTTTCTATCCTTTTCCTCTTAAGCCAGAATTTCCAGAAATTTTGGTTGAATGAAACCTGCCCTATCTGACTATTCTCAGCCTTGTCACACAACTGCTGCAATACAATGTACAAACTAAGTAACTGCATGACAAGATAAGCTGTCACATACAGTGGAAAATAAGAATAGAACAGTACACCAGAGAAATAGGCATCATCAGAAAAAGAAACGAGTCACCAGTCCAACCTATACAATCAGATCACAGAAACAACAACGACAATATTCCCAAATCAGCTGAGCCCAGCCCCCTTGGCTTATCTGCCAAAACACTTGATAATTCAGGAGCATGACAATCAGGGGGCAATACAGCTGTTCAGCAGCAAAGATTGCCGAGATGTGTAGCAGTGCAAACATTGTGAAAGAAACATATATTTCTTTCATTACTTTTAATTGGACAATTTCATGAGATCTACGATACATTTCTAACAAAATATCATTCAAACCTGAGAAAATGTTTGATGGTCATATTTGTCTTCAAGCTGTAGACGTTGTAGCAAGTAAGACCTTTATTTAAGTGTCAATGTGTTTAGCCTAAAAAGACTAATTGGGGACACTATAATTAAAATACACTTATAAAAATTATATATTTACACGAAAATGATTAAAGTTTAAAGTTTAGAAAGCCAAAATACTCCTTTTGACTACAAAGATTACAGCAATTGCTGTAAACGCAGGTAAACGCAGGCAAACGCAGCGCACGTGGACGAGGAGTTTACCAATAAATAGTCCAACACTTTGATACCGAAGGATACAAAATGTAAATGCATGCTACCTACATGACGAGCCTCGATTACGACCCTTGGCTCGGTTTCATTTCACTCCATCTTTCTTATCACACCCACCAACTGCCAGGTCCGTCAAGATTAGCTGTTTCATTCGATCGTTGAATTGCTCGGTATCCTAACTTAAAAAGATCCAATGACCTTTTTCTATGCTAAAGAAAACTATGATGTTAATTTCCAGAAATATTAAAAGTTGGACTGGGTACCTGAATGCCGTTGAAAACTGGCCTTCTTAGTCGACGTAAACATTCCGCCATATTTCGGCGCACGTTCCACTGGTCCTTTGCGGCCCCCCTAAGAGACAAGAAGAGCAATGACCGGCGAGACTTTTGATGAAGCATGTGCACTGGGTTCTCCCCAGTAGGCACCTCAGGAGCAGCAAATTAAAAAAACATTCACTTCCCACAGAGGTATTCTCACAGAATACCTCATGCAAACCTTATGATAATTTTGATATTTGTTTAGAAATGTCAAGCGATTTCAAAATTCATGATCCTTTTTTTAGCGGACGAATTTTCTGAGCTTGTCCGTACCATAGAATCGCAGGCTCAGAAGTGGGTTAAATTTTCGCGAAAATAGCAGATTACCATTGGGATTACTTTTGAAAACGGAAGCCCCCGAAGGCTAAGATCTAAAACCTAAGAGCCCAAAATAAAAAAAAAATTTCAACATGATCTTTTTCTGGTTCCAGAGTATCAAAGGGGTTTGTTAATGAGTACTACACCGACCAAACTTTTCGTGACTTTTGTATCCCACATATCCAGTCTTGTAGGCTTCATGATTGAGCTTTCGAACCCTTGCTCGTTTCTAAGATCTATAAAAACACTTTGCCATTGAGCTTGTTATGTTTATGCGCAACAATGACGATGTACATAAAAATAGTACTTTTAATCCTGGTGATTACGTCAGAGAAGATGTTATGCAGGGAATGACACAGGCTTACTCGGAGAAAAAAGAAGCTTAAGTGCATCCTGTGATCTCCGAAAAGTACTTCAGGAGCTATAATACTCATCATAGTTAGTTTATAACTGCCAAAACACTCCTACATGTCCAAAATTAAACAAGCTCTCTAATATACGAAATGAACAAGCGAAGCGATTGCTAAAATAAACTTACAAACGATAACTTATCACAATTATACGAAAAGAAATTGACAAACTAAACTGATAATGGACAATAAAGACACTTACAAACGTTGTACGAGATCCTGGCAAATGTCTGGCTTAAGACGGTAGAGAGCAATTGAGAGCAGTGATCCAGCACAGTTGAACTATAAAGCCGAATAAATTAAATTCACGCTAAAGAATTTATACGAAAGATACAAACAAAGAGAAATTATGCGAAAAAAAGGTAACAGAATACCTTTGAAAGCAATACGCGTGAAAACAAACGAGCTTATTGAAATGCGACGGAAAGAAAAAAATTAGAATTTTGGTGGCAGCCGAGCTTAAAGAGACCCGCGGTAAGTTAGTCCGTTTTACCAGCTCCATGGCAAGAAACTGTCTTTAGACTGCGAGGATAGAAATGCTTAGGCACAGCCGGTGAATAAAGATGTAAATGAAGATGGTGAACTTCAAACCGGGTAATTAGAGTGTAGGAGCATGTTATTCAGTGAATGACAATTATGGTGTTAATGTGGATGGTAAATTTTAAACTCGGCGTATAAGTTATTCAGTGAATGACAAAGGGATACTCAGAGAAAAAGGAAAAGTCGGAGAATAACCAACGATCTTCATTTCAATACTTCGGAGTTCTCTCTGAATTCAACGATCGCTTGAGTCCAAACTTAACCAGATTACACGAGTTGAAGCAAGTCAAGGGAGACCTTACAAGAGGCTCACTACAGTCTACCATCGTCCTTGAAAACCGCAAGGGCGTAGGATGAGGACTTACGGACCGCTCCCCCCACAAAGAATTATGGAAATTTGAGAACCAAGAGTTGTTTCTTAGTCTTCGCTCAGCCTACAACCCTCCCACTCTTAATTATTTTTTTTCTTGTGTCACACTTGGTGCATCATGAGTAGTTTAAATACCAGGCTTCATCACTGCCGATATTTCCTCAAACTAAAGAGTGCCACAAGCTTGGGTCACCCAGGAGTCGTCATTGCTGAAATCTTCCCTTCCCCCTGCCCCCTCACTGGTTGCTCGCCCCAGGCTTTCCTCCGGTGACATCAATCCAATATGGCCGCTAAACCGTGGAAACGGAATATCTGGCACTCGCGGGCTAAAACATAAGCCTGCTATGAAGGTTAAACCTTATTTTATTTCTGTTAGGACAAGAAAAAATGTGTAGCAACATGCAAGATGAATTCAGTCTTTTTGGATATGGATTTATAGCAGTTCATGTTGGTAATATCTTCCTCTCTGAAATGGTACTATTCTCGTTAGGCTGTCTTTTTTATAAGCTAGTTTAGTCGTCAAGAACACATTTAAACAGTAGCTAGTTTCCTTCGAACAAAGTTAAAGGAATGAAAGACAGGGCCAGAGCTTTCTTATTAGAGAGCTGGGAATGTTGGCTTATCAAGGATTAGTTGTAATTCTTTCATCTGTCAAGAAGCTGCACATGAAAGCCTTAATATCCTTTTTTGGTTAAAAACCATTCTAATGTTTAGAAGAAAACTGGGTAAAACTCGCAATTTCAAGTGCAATTTGAATTTAGAGTGTACTACCTGACCCAAATGCATAAAACTACCATTGCGGCATTATTATTTTTCTCCACTGTTCAAATCTCGCAGATGTGAGTAGCTTTTTCAGTCCCTTGGCAATGAAATAGTGATAACATACATCTCTTGAAAGAAGAAATATTTGATCAAGAATGCTTATGTCAGCCCTGGTATGTGATTTCTTATTTAAAAAATGACATAATCAGTGTTTTATATCAGGTGCTGGGTACCATTCACTCTTACATGAAAAGGACTACAAACAGGCCTGCAGAGCTGCATGTGCTGAGGTACAAATTATAGTTGAATCTTTAAATTGTAAACTTCTGAAGGCTAATACTCTTCACATGATATTTCTTTCTTCACCAGGACTGAGAATTTTCTTTTGTAACCCAACAACACCATATCCACTATTTCACAATCTACTTATTTCCCACCTGCTGGTTGTTTGCTGGGGTATTGAAAATATACGGAAAATTTTATCCTTTATCCAGCAGATGATTATTTTTCTAGGCCATGAAAGCTATCAAGCAAGGATTCTCAGCTAAGGATGTTGTGACCAATGCAATAACAGCTTTAGAGGTACAGGTTATAACACATGTGTATCTAGATGTTATAAAGACATACCTTTTTAACAAATTTTATAATTAGACTATTGCTTAGTGAGTTATTTAATTATTTAAGTAGTTAGTTAGGCTGCTAGATAGTTGGTTAGTTAATTAGTTAATTAGTTCATGAGCTAGTTAATTGGCTAGTATTCATTTCATTATAAGTTTTAAAGTTTTTACTCTCACTCAGTTTTAGAGATTTTTATGGTTGTATAATTTTATCGGTGCGATTTATAAAATTACTGTACAGCGCTATTGGATAGTGATAGAAATAGCGCTATACAAATACCATATTATTATTATTATTATTATTATTATTATTATTGAAATAACTACAAGCATGATACAAGGTAGTAGATACACTGTATCTATTGATTACTATAAGAATCTTTTTTCTTTTCCTGATAATAGCCTTTCTCTTTTTAAGATTGAAAGGATATTACCAAACAAAATGAAGACAAAGAGAGTTTTACTCTAGGTGAAATACTTAAGGATTCACTTCAACAGAGGGTTAACACTCCAAATGTCAGGTTAAGAAACTTTTTGCAGAGGCCAGTTTACATTCTGACCTCAGTTGATAAAACCAAACTATCTTTGTAATACCCCTTCTGACTCAGCACAACATTCTTTTTGGAAATGTGTCTTCTAGTGAAACAATGTGTGTAACTATTTTGTTGGCCAACTTTGTTGGCATTTATTATCTTTGTTCAGGATTTTCCTTGCACCAATGCAGGAATTGGTTCAAATTTAACCAAATTAGGAACAGTGGAGTGTGATGCAAGTATAATGGATGGAAATTCCTCAGCATTTGGAGCTGTTGGTGCTCTTAAGGGTCAGTGAAAAGAAGAAATATTTTAATCATTAAAATAATGATTATCTGGTGTTTACAGGGTGTGGACAAAACCTGGCCTAGGCCATGGCCTACCCTGTGGCCCACCCTGTGGCCCATCCTGTGGCCTACCCTGTGGCCTACCCTATGGCCTACCCTATGGTCTACCGGTGGTCAGATTTTTAAGAACATAAAAATAAAATCAGTAAGAGTCAAACGAATACACTGGTGTACAATTATCTGTCTCTGAAAAGGGTACACTAAGATGTCACTAACATGATTTTCAACGTCCGAGGGAATGAAACACTGCAAATATCACAGCACTCAACCATAACAGTAGGTTAAGGGGGAGGG